TATTCCAGGCCTCTTTTTCCACCATTCTCTGAAGCATCGGAAACAGGAGCCAGCTGAGGATAGGGCACCGTGCAAGGCAAACCAGTGCATCACTGGTACAGGATAAGAAAATTGTGTGCCTCAGTTCCCTCCACTCTGTAAAGCGAGGATGGAGGAACTGATTGTGCCTGCCAGCATGGGAACGGCTACAGAGACTCGCAAATGCCGGAGAAGGAAGCCGAGCAGGAAGCCCATCCCCTTCCAGCTCCCTTCCAGGGCAGGGTTATTCTCTCCACCCTGGCACCCCCATAGGCCAGCTCTGACCAGAGCTGGCAGAAAACCAGCTGAGCTGGTGATGGATTAACTCAACATCAGCATCAAAGCCAGCAGAGTAAGAGCCCTGCCCAGCACTTGGGAGCCAAAGGCCACATCCCCTCGCCACAGACAGGCTGGCTCCACAGCCCCAGCTGTGCCCAGCCTGGGTGCCAGCTGGCACAACAGGGCCCAGCCCCAAGTGCCTCGCACAACCTGTGCCCGACTGTAGCTCCCCTGTGGAAGCAACAGGACGAATGCACCTGCGCCAGAGCTTGGAAGCTGTGACAGGACCCATGCCGCCTGGGCGCTTCGACTCCCTGGGAAACCATCTGGGCATCTCCCAGCCCCTGGGAGGTGGACAAGGGGGTTGAGGCAGCCCCAGGGCTGCTGGCCGGGGCCCAGGCTTGCTCCAGCAGGACGCACAAAGGGGACTTTGTCGGCTTCCACGAGCCATTAGGCCAGGCGGCGGCCAGGGAGCCATTGGGCCATGGCGGCTCGGGGGGGAGCCTCCTCCTTGGAGGCCAACGGCTCCCAGTCCTGCCTGGCTCTGGCCAGCTGGCTGGGGCAGGGTGGGGACTGAGCACCTGGGAAGCCTGATCCGTGCCCTCTTGCCCCTGCACCTGTCCTCACCCAGCGCCCCCCAGTTCCCACTCTGATGCCTTCCTTGATTACCTTCTCTGCCCCACTCTTCCCAGCTGTTCCCCCACATCCCCTCCCCCA